GTTTGACACGCTACCCAGGCTTGGCCAAAATCTTTGTTGGCCTCATATAACTCCTTTAGGCACTCGAACCCTATGATTTCGACTTGGTGCATCTGCAACTTTGCAACTTTGTTCTGTTGGCCTGACTTGTGTTTTAGCGAGAAGGTGAATTGCTGGATATAAGCCGCCCATAGCGCGTGCATCCGATTAACACTGTTTTGATTGTTAATGGATTTTAGTGCCTAGTGATCCGTAAACAGCACGAACTCTTACTGGATAAGATAATGCTCCCACGTATGCAAAGCTTGCACCACTGCATAGAACTCCAACTCATAGGTAGTCCACTTTTTGCGTGCTTCACTCAGTTTCTCACTGTAAAATCTGGAAGGACTAAGATTGGGGCTGTTGACAGTTTTTCCTTGATTAAGGCAAAACTCATCTTAGCTTCCTCTCCCCATTGGAATTTTCCTTTCTTCATGCATTTTGTGATGGGAGCCACAATACTACTTAAGTTCTTGATGAACCTTCGGTAGAACGTGGCTAAGCCATGGAAACTGTGTACTTCTCCCACATACTTCGGCATAGGCCACTCTCGAATGGTCCTCACCTTCTCCTTATCCAGCTGAATGCCATCACTACAAACTACATAGTCGAGGAATATTAGGCTTGGGGTCACAAAGCTACACTTTTTCAGATTAATGAACAGTATTCTTTTGCAAAGCTGTTAATACCTCTCTCAAGTGCAAAAGGTGTTTTGCCTCTGTTTGACTATAAACCAGAATATCGTCGAAATAAATAACTACAAATTGACCAATAAATGGTTTGAGTACCTGATTCATCAACTGCATGAAAGTACTTGGCGCGTTGGATAATTCGAATGGCATGACTAACCACTCGTACAGTCCTTCTTTTGTCTTGAACGTCGTTTTCCACTCATCCCCAGGGCAAATTCTGATCTGATGGTATCCACTCTTAAGGTCCACTTTGGCGAAGACTTTCGATCCCGCCAACATATCCAGCATATCATCCAGCCGTGGAATGGGAAATCTCTACTTGATAGTGATTCTGTTAATTGCGCGATTATCAACGCACATTCTCCGACTGCCATCTTTCTTAGGTACTAGCAAGGCCGGAACAACACATGGGCTCATACTCTCCCGAATCAACCCTTTCTGAAGATTTTACTCTCATTGGGACTTATCCGGTAATGTGGTAGATTTGGCAGGCTCGCCCTGGGCACCAAGTCGATGTGGTGTTGAATGTCCCTCATGGGAGGGAGAGTATGAGGCAAGTCTTCCAGCACCAACTCACTAAACTTTTGCAGTAATGGCTGCATTATTGCTGGTACTGTAAAAAGAGGTTGTTCAACTACTTCCCCCTTGCACATAACATCAAAGATTTCAGGGGCCGTTGTTACTTCACCCAAAAATTCGTCACTGTTGATCAACATAACTGAATTTCCTTCGGGAAATTCGGCTTCTTTTAGCGCACCCAAAACAATCTTCTGACCATTTTTGTATAGAATATACACATTGTCTCTACCTTGGTGAGTGGCATCAACATCAAATTGCCACGATCTGCCTAATATCATATGGCATGCATCCATGTCGACTACATCACAACGCACCTCCTCTGCATTTGCATATGCTTTCCCATTTGAGAATGGAACGGTTCAGGTTTCAGTTACTTGCGTTTCTGAGCCTTTCTTGATCCATCCAATTTTGTATGGATGGAGATGTTTATCTGTTTTAAGCCCCAATTTTCGAACCATTGTTAAGGAAACAATGTTCTCACTACTGCCGCTATCAATAATAACGTCACATACCTTATGGTTGACAGTGCAACGTGTACGGAACACATTATGACGCTGTGGGTGCTCTTCCTTCTTTGGTGTGAACATCAACCTCCTTATGGCTAAAGAGTGGGACAACAACTCGCCATTGTCTCCTTCAGTCACCTCTTCTTCTTCGAAAGTAAGGAACTCACCTTCCTCACCCTCGCCTTCCTCATGCTCCACCAGATTTACTGTCGGTTGCTTGGGGCAATTGTTGGATTTATGGCCAGGTTCTCCACATCGAAAACACTTACGCATACTTGGGTGTGCAATGGGATTTTCTCTCATAGCTGGGGCTCCCCTTCCAGCAGGGCCTACGGGTGCTCCTGGTTTGGCCTTTGTTGGACCATCTCCAATGCCTCGCCATGTCATTGGAAAAGGGGCTACCGTGGTCTGTTTGCCCATGTCATGTGTAGGTAGTGGGGTATTATATGAACCACGAGACCAATTCTTCGACTTTTCCAATAACAATTCTGCTCTCTCTGCCGCCGTGACAATCTTAGGAAGTTTCAATAGCGGTTGCAGCGCCACTTTCTCTTCAATATCCCATTGTAACCCGCCTTTGAAATGGGCCACCATGCTAAATTTGGCTTCCACCAGGTTGTTACGGGATGACAACTGATAAAATTCTTTAGCATATTCAGCAATTGTTCTACTTCTCTACGTACGGGATTGATATTTCTGATAAAGGACCTGTTCGTAATCGGGGTAAAAATCAAGCTTTCATCAACTTCTTCATCTTAATCCATGTACGTACCGGATCTTTACCCTCACGAGTTTGACTTGCTTCTCCTCCTTGATTTTCATATATTCAAAGAAACGTTCAACTTCACTAGTCCAGTCCAAGAATTTTTCAATACGAAGATGACCTTGAAAGGTGGGTAGGTCAATCTTTGTACGAAAATCCCTGGAATCATCAATTTCCCATTGACCTTGTTTATCTCCAAACACCTATACGGCTTGGTTGTTACCAAAACCGACATTTTCCTCATAGGCTGGTTGTTTATTCGGTGGGTTTGGGTTGCGATTACCAGCAGGACATCCATGATCACCATCGTAAGTCGTTGGGCAACCTGTTGTTCTCGCGGTTAAGTTCTACTGTCATCAATCTCGCCAATACTTGACGCATGGTTTCATGCATATCAAGTAAGGTTCAATTAACGTTGGTCTGGAACTCAGTAAACTCAGCCCTCAAAAGAGCTACTCCATCACGATCACCGTCGCTGAAGGGGTTGTTTCCATCTCGTGAACCAGCCATCGAAAACAAAGGCGAATCTTGGATTCGGAACCTTACTTTGATACCAACTAATGTAGCGGAAACGATAGAGAACAAGGTTAAAACCTTGAATTCACAAAGAACACACTCACAAGAGAGAAACTGAAATTATATTGATAATGATGATGTCTATAGACTTACTTCTCTTGCCTTTATATAGGCAAGTCAAAAAAAAAAAAACCCTTGAATTCACAAAGAACACACTCACAAGAGAGAAACTGAAATTATGTTGATAATGATGATGTCTATAGACTTACTTCTCTTGCCTTTATATAGGCAAGTCCAAAAAAAAAAAAAAAGGAAAGCATGCGTGTAATAATATTAAAGGGGAAATCTGAGATTTGATGGAGCAAAATCCTCCTTAAATCTTGCAATGGAGAATAATATTTTCTATTGTTGGCAACTACACCAAATCTTCTTATTTATTTTCTGAATCCTCCTTAATTCTTGCAATGGAGAATAATAACTTCTATTCTCATTACCTTTTCAGCCTCCCTGATTTGCGATGATCCTGTATGCTCAGATAATCCTGAGCGAACTATTCTACATCAATTTCTCAGATTTTCCCAGATATACCTTTAGAAATCTAGGCTCAAAGACTTATCAAAAAAAAATCCTAGGCTCAAAGAGTGATTGGAGTATCTCAGTCTTTCTTACAGCTGTAGGTGGGTTTCTTTTGATTTTCTATTTGCTTCATTTTTGCTAGAATTTTTTTTTTATTTTTTATGAAAGGTTCCCAGCGATGTTAATGTGAAGGGTCCGACCATCCGAGAAAACGTTTAATGTGATTAAAAACATGTATGATGATTAGTAGTAGAACAGACAAGTGAATTTCAGAAGGAAAACTGACGTCTAACAGACAAGGGAATTTCAGAAAGAAATCTCACATCTAAAATATGCATTGAATTTCAGAAGATAGTGTAGAATTTAATGGTTTTAGGTCAATCGAGTCAAAACAAAATATAGTAGATCTGAGTTATGGTGAATTGATGGCTAAGAGATACACGAGCAACCGTTTCTATTGTATTGAACCAATTAACCAAAGGGGGAGTTTGAGGAGGATATTGCTTGCAAAATTAGAGGAGAATGAATGAAACATGGTGGTGGTGCTTCTTGGATGTTGGGTAATATTAGATTCCTACCATTCAAGGATAGAGTTCTATATGACATCTGGGAGGGTTGCATACAGTTTATAGTTTTAGAGTGTTTGGCTTGGCGGTCAAAAAACATTACTGGAAAAAGTATAGCCAAGATTAGGATGTAGACGGCTAGGTGGCTGTAAAGAATTGATATATTAATTAATATATATATTATTGAAGTCAAAAGTGGCACTGACGAAGCTGAGATGAGGGGAAATAAACTAAGATCACTATTGATTAGTAATCTAATTCAAATTTGTAGTGTCAAATGGGCAACAGTATTGAAAAATAGCGTTCTTTAGGACAATGAGAAGCACAGGATTATATTTAGATTTAACTGGGGATGTTTATTTAAGTCTTGATTAGAGTAGAAAAATTAGTTGTTGACCCGAAGTAATTAGGTAAATGCCTTTTGAGATGTGTTTTGGTTTTGGTTGGGTTAGGTTAGTATTTCAAGACTTCATTGACCCAAATGCAATTAATACTTCATTTATTGTTTAATGTGAATTACAAAGTCTACCTTAGTTTAAAACCATTTTAGATGCATATTAGACTTAGTTGCTTAATATTAAGTGTAATTCATTTTTATTTAACATTTATAAGTAATGTCTAAATATTTGGCATATTAAGTAAATTGAAGGTTAGAACAAATAAGGGACATGACATATATAATTTTGTTGAACACAAGATACTTGTACCTCGTAGTTTCTTGACAGTATCAAATCATGACCTTACAAAACATTAAATGTAATTTGTGTTATTCTCTATGCAGGCTAAAGGATTTGTTGCAAATTCATTTTATAGTGGTTTAACGGCTACAGAGTTTTTCTTCCATACGATGGGGGGACGGGAAGGGCTCGTGGATACAGCGGTATTGATGATCTTTTTGCTTTATTTTGTTGTCTATTGCAGTTGCAAGTCTCACCATCAGGAATTGTTTTTATTTAATACAGAGTTTTTAACCCTTCTTTTCCATTATTTCTGTATCAAACGTTTTTGGAGAAGTGCAACATAGTGCAAGACAGTTGGAGATTCATTTAGAATTCTTCAGCACATCCATCAATACAAATGCATTGATGCATGAGCTTTGATACGCCATCTCTTATGGGTGTAGCAACTTTTCCTTGAAACTTATGGTAGAACAGCGAGTAAATTATCAGATTATTGTGAATATTGTTTCAGCAATACCCCCAAAAGTAGATCTAGTGTAGGGCTGCAAATGAGCTGAGCCGAGCTGAGCTTTGGGTTGTTCGGGCTCGGCTCGTCATCTTTGAAGGGGTGCTCGGGCTCGGTTGAGTTTCATGAAGCTCGGGCTCGTTTATATACACCCTCCAAATTTGCTTCCCTAACTGTGCCTTCTATGTATAAACAAGATGCTAAGAAGCACGGACACGGATACGACACGACACGGACACGGCGACACGACAAATCCAAAAAAATTAGGACACGGACACGGCGAATAGTATATATATATATATATATATCAGCATTAATAATTTTTTAAAAAAAACACAGATTTTTTAGTTGGAATATATATATATATATCACTGATATGTTAGTATATATATATATCAGCATCTTTAGGACACGGACACGGCGAATTGTGGCATCTTTAGGTTAGTATATATATATATCAGCATCTTTAGGGTAGTACAAAACAAAAAATAGAACATATCAGCATTAAAAATTAAAAATAATAATAATAATAATAATAATAACATATCAGCATTAAAAATAAAAAATAAAAAAAAAAAATTCCAGAAAATTGTGTCCGAGCCGTGTCTGAGCCGTGTCCGAGCCGTGTCCGTGGCGTGTCCGAGCCGTGTCCGAAAATTAAAAAAAATAAAAAAATTCCAGACACGTTTTTTGACGTGTCCGACACGTGTCGGGGCGTGTCCGACGCGTGTCCGTGTCCGACACGTGTCGGACACGGATTCTTCGCCCATTTTGGAGTGTCCGTGCTTCCTAGACAAGATGTATCAAATTCAACAAAAAAAACAGAGATGTGTCAGAGATTCGGAGAACATACTTCTACATCTGCAACTAGAGAATTTTTCATATAAGGCAGCCAAAAACCAAAAACCAGTGCATCTACCATTTTTTTGTTTTTTTTTTTTTTTCCTGCGAAAATTTCAATATACTTAAGTAGTAGAATGAATTCCAGATTTAAGAAAGTAACTAATCTCTTACATGAGATCGCATCTAAATCTCCAAGAAAAAAAACGAAATACAAAAAAAAATATAAATAAATAAATGAAGATCAAATTTTCAAGATAAAAATCAAATATTACCAAGTTTCCATACTTTAGTTCCTTCTTAAGATCCGTTTGAGAGATAGCTATGTGGCTTGTGGAGTGATGTCGGAAGAATTTAGGTTGGTGTTGATCCGAGAGAGAGAGAGAGACAGAGAGAGTTGGCTTGTAAATGCGTTGCGTCTTGTGTAGAGTATTGTCGGCAGATTATGTGGCTGTAGTGTTTTTAGGTTAATTCTGATCTCTGAACTCAACAGCTGAGATGGTGAGATGAAAGGATTTAACTCAACGGCTGAGATGGTGAGATGTGGATGAAAGGATTTAAGTTGGGCCTGATTAATGAAGGGATTTAAATTGGGCCTAATTAATGAAAAGATGTGAATTGGGCAAAATTAATATGCACATATATATATATATAACGAGCCTTGTTCACGAGCCTTAACGAGCCCATGTTCACGAGCCTATGCAAGCTGAGCCTAACGTTGTTCGGGCTCGGCTCGTTTACTAAAAGAGCCTAAAAATTGGGCTTGAGCTCGGCTCGTTTGCTTAACGAACGAGCCCGAGCCGAGCCCTTAACGAGCTGAGCCCGAGCTGTTCATAAACAGCTCGGTTCATTTGCAGCCCTAATCCAGTGATCCTTTATTTAGATACGGAGGCCGTATGAGTTTGGATTTATTGGTTCAAGACTGTCTGAGCTTGGATTTATTGGTTCTTGTGGCATTTGTTAATCTTGATTGATGAGGAAAAGTGAGAAATTGTTTGTCTAAGTTTTGTGACTGTTGGAATATTTGATTATTCAAGTATTAGTGCATAATCAGAGCCATGGGGTTTTTAAATTGTTGCTTATTCATTAATATAGATAGATAATAGTATAGGATGTTAGTAACTTTCTTGAAACCTTTTCCTATGATATCTTTCTTCTTTCTTTCTATTCTATCTCAAACCCTAATTTTTCAATTCCGATATCATCTTCAACTTGGTATCAGGACCTGAGAGCCTGGAGTTTACTATCACTGTTAGTGTGTTCCCTCTCTCCAAAGAGTCCGGTGAATTTGGATGAGAGCAATTATTTGGCATGGTCAATATTCTACCTGTTATTAGTACAGACTTGTGGCTTGTATGGATATTTGACTGGGAAGTGCAAGAAGCCAGATTTATCTCAACATTCTTACAATCAATGATTTATGGAAAATTCATAGGTAACCAAGCCACACATTAGTTGTGGCTATCTTTTCCTTGATATAACCCATGCTATTTGGACTACCTTTGCTTAGGCTTGAATGCATGTAGGGAATGATGTTCAGGTTTATACACTGAGAAAAAAGGTTCATGAGACCAAACAGAGAAGTAGTTTATTTTTGGGGGTTAGATTATTATCAGGGTTTTAAAATGGACTGTGCGAGTGTTAGTGCCAAATTTTAGAGTTTAGTTGAGAAGACGTAGGTGTATGATTCCTTAGCTTGCCTTTATATGAAGCTTGCCTTTATATGGAATATGATCAGTTTTCCTCTTTACCAACCTTATGATTATATTCAACACCACACTTAGCATCATCTACAATTCCTTTCTTCTTTCCATTCAAAAGACAAGGTAATCTCCCATTCCGACCTCGATATGTGGAATCATCTTGTCAAGCTCAGTCATTGACAAGGTTCACCTGTTCTGGGATGACTGTCTTTTTGGCCCCCTTGTAAACATCTTGTTAGATCTCAATATCATTTTGAGAGTTTGGGGCAAGATTTTGACCTTGGACAATCTCAGAAAGAGAAGACAGATCATAGTCAAGTGGTGTTGTCTCTGTAAGAATGATGGAGATTCCGTGGATCACCTTCTTTTGCATTGCCCTGTGGTCCATGACTCCTGGAGTCTTATTTTTGGTTTGTTCGGCGTTCAGTGGGTTTTGCCTCGGTCCCCGAGGGAGTTGATTGATGGTTGGAGAGGCTTCAGTGTGGGGGCCCATGCCTGGGCTTTTTGGAGGGCGTCTCCCCTTTGTGTTTGGTGGTCTATTTGGAATAAGCGAAATAGAAGATCTTTTGATGGGGAGGAATCTTCCATTGTGGCACTGAAATTTTCTATTATTAGTTCTCTTTTTAGTTGGGGGATGGGGAAAAATTGTATATCTTTAGATGAAATCATGGATTTTTTTGGGTTCTTTGAGTCCCTAGGACTTCGTTGGCTTCGGCCTTTGTATAGCTTTCGGGATGCGCTCCGCTTTTGAACGCTCTCTAATATACTTTTATTTATCTCAAAAAAAAAAAAAAAAAAAAAAATCACTTCGAGTATAGCATCTTAGCCTGAATCAGCTGGTTCAGAGCCCAACTCACTCCAAGTATAGCATCTTTGGCCCCCATGTTTCATTTTCTTCTTCTTTTACCAATAGTTTGCTGCTAGGAGTCCCTCTTGTCCAATCAAGGAGATTGAGAGGAGTGCTTTGATCTACACCTTAATCCAGGATAGGACTGCTTTGGTAACTCTTCCTTGGAAAGGCATTTTCGACATACTCATGTTGGCAGTAAGAGTTGTGGTTTTGAAAAGGACCAACTCAAGTGTTGTTTCTATTCAAAGACTGCAGAAGAGATGCAGACAATTCGACTGTTGATGACTCAACTTGATAGTTCACCTACCTCAGCTTCTATCATTGCCTTATCTTCTAATTTTTCTCATACATGAGGGATTTTGCAAGTGCTTTTAGTGTATTTTCACCCATTAATCCATTAATTATCGATTCTACAGCTACTGATCGTATGGTAGGTTCTTCCAATCTTTTCTCCATCTTATTTTTCATGCTCAAGGTCAGAGTTGCAAATGGATCCTTGTCCTCCTAGAACTGTACTAGGTCTCGTTCATCATTCACCATCCACATCACTTTTATCCCTATAACATGTTCTAATTTTTTCTACCAATTTGCTCTCCATTAGTCATATCATCAAGTCAAGTGACATTTCCTCCTACTCATTATATTTTTTGGGAATTGGGGACCGGGAGAGCGATTGGTAATGGTAAAGCACATGGTGGTCTATATCTGTTCCAGACAGTATCTTCTCTTTCATGTTATATGCCCTTCAGACTGGTAGTAGCCTTGCATTAGAATCAACTCTTGGGATATCCTTCTATTGAAATGCTAGATAGATTTTCACCTATTTTCGTTGAGCAGTGCAATCGAAATAACTTTGATTGGGATGCTCGTGAACTTGCATAGTGTGAGAAAATCTCTTATCCTAGTAATAATAATAGAAGCACTCCTCCTTTTATAGTTATTCATTTTGATGTATGGGAGCGTTATTTCTATCTGGATAGAGATGGTTTGTTATTTTTATTGATTGTTTCTTACATGTTGCTTGGGTGTATTTATGACGTCATAAGACTTCCAAACCTTTCACAAGATGGTGTCTTCTAAATTTGATGCTAAAATTATGATTACATGATAATGGAACAAAGTTCTTTGATGGTGAGTTTTACGCTTATCATGTTGAGCATGGGTTGTCCATCAAACTAGGTATTTGAAAACTCCAGAAAGAAATGGTGAGGTTAATGAAAATTCATCACCTTCTTGAAGTTGCTTGCTCCTTGATGATTCCTCTCAAGTTACTTCGAGGTTGAATTCTTACTCATTCTATTC